TTCCCAGTCTTTCCCCATCTCCTGGAGTTTGCTCAAACTCATGTTCATTGAGTCGGTGATGCCATCCAACCTTCTCATCCTCTGTCCTCCCCTTCTCCTGCCTTCGGTCTTTCCCAGCATCAGGGTCTTTTCCAGTGAGTCAGCTCTTCACATCAGATGGCCAAGATACTGGAGCTTTAGCTTCAGCACCAGTCTTTCCAATGAATATTCAGGGTTGATTTCCTTTTGGATGGACTGGTTTGATCTCCTTGCAGTCCAAGGGTCTCTCAAGAGATTCCTTACACCCTACAATTCTGTGCCAACACCTTCTTTTTGCCCTTGAATAGACAGTCCCACAACCTCTTCTCTGTCTGGCGAGCATCCTTTCAGAAATTGGAATTCAGACAGCTCCTACACAAACAAGTATATTGGCCTCTTTAGACACTGCACTCTGCTCATCATGGGCACGTTAAATAACTGCACACTACATTGAATGGCAAGAGAAACAACCCTCTCAAGAGATTTTCTTTCTCCAGAGACTTGTGCTATAACATGAAGCTTTATATCACTTAAGCTTTTGAAATCTGCTCTCATAGAGGACAGCAAAGCAGTCTCAGTCAGCTCAGTTCAGTCTCTCAGTCATGTCCGACTCTTTGCGACCCTATGAACTGCAGCACTCCAGGCCTCCCTTCCATCACCAACTCCTAGAGTTTACTCAAACTCATGTCCATCAAGTCAGATAAGCCATCCAACCATCTCATCCTCTGTCTTCCCCTTCTCCTCCCGCCTTCAATCTTTCCCAGCATCAGGGTCTTTTCAAATGAGTCAGCTCTTCGCATCAGGTGGCCAAAGTATTGGAGTTTCAGCTTCAGCATCAGTCCTTCCAATAAATATTTAGGACTGATTTCCTTTAAGATGGACTGGTTGGGTTTCCTTGCAGTCCAAGGGACTCTCAAGAGTGTTCTCCAACACCACAGTTCAAAAGCATCAATTCTTGGGTGCTCAGCTTTCTTTATAGTCCAACTCTCATATCCATTCATGACTACATGGAAAAACCATAGCTTTGACTAAACGGACCTTTGTTGGCAAAGTAATGTCTCTGCTTTTTAATATGCTGTCTAGGTTGGTCAAAGCTTTTCTTCCAAGGAGCAAGCAAAGCAGTCTGGTTCTTCTCAGTTTCTCCTCTCTTGATGATGACGCACCTTTGGATCAAATAGTCACATTTCCTTAAGTTCCCTCTCCCACTTTTGTTTTATTGATTCAGAGAATCAGTTCAGTCAATTGTTTCCCATGTCTTCACAGTTTTCAAACTTTGTCTGTACATAGCTATCAGCACAAGTATCACCTAGGATGCTTAATTTTAAAAATCAGAAACCTTGATGCCACAAACAGACTTTATTGAATCTTTGGAATGCCCAAGAATCTGAACTATGAAGTATATACTGTAAGATTTTTGGTGTGGGTATTGAATATTCATATTTTGAGGAAAAAGCTTATGCCTTGTAAGAAATAAAAGTCTCAAAAAGATCCATCAGGAGGCTCCCTGATTCTCTCCATTTAGCCCAAAAAGTGATCCAGCCAATGCCTGGAGAGCTTGCCTGCATCTCCTCTGCACCTGTCATCCACGTTATCAGTTCATCCATCTGGCTATGTAGTTCAGTCATTCTCCTAGAATAACACTTACTTTAATGTCTCTGTTTATCACCTGAAATGTTCACTGATATCTGTAATTTTCTGGGCAGTGTGGATATTTTTGACACATAAGATTACACTGCCCTCTCCATAGTTTTCATTATAAAATGCATATGCTTTCTTCACAATTGAATCTCAAGGACTTAGGACGGACCTTGACAAAGAGTTGTTCTATAAGTTGACGGAATAACCATCTTGTATCTATCTATCTGTATATTTGTTTTTAATTAGAGGATGATTGCTTTACAATAGTGTGTTGGTATCTGCCATGTATAAACATGAATCAACCATAGGTATATATGTCCCCTCCCTCTTGAACTTCCCTCCCACCTCCCACCCCATCCCACCCCTTTAGGTTATCACAGAGCACTGGATTTAAGCTCCTTGCATGAAAGATTAAATTTCAGCTGGCTATCTAATTTTAAATATGGTAATGCATATGTTTCAATGCTACTCTCTCAATTCTTCCCACCTCTCCTTCCACCCCGCCCCCCACTCCAGTCTGTGGTGTGAAAGTCGCTCAGTCGTGTCTGACTCTTTGTGACCCCATGGACTGTAGCCCACCAGGCTCCTCTGTCTGTGGGATTCTCCAGGCAAGAATACTAGAGTGGGTTGCCATGCCCTTCTCCAGGGGATCTTCCCGACCGTGGGATCAAACCTGGGTCTTCCTCACTGCGGGCAGATTCTTTACTGTTTGAGCTACCTGGGAATGTTTATTATGTGAACTGAAAACAGAGGTTTACCCAGACCAAGTCTGTCATAAATATGTAACCATTTGCACTGGCTCAAATCTGTGAAGTTATAGATTATATTTCCTACTTTTTAATTAAACCACAAAATGGGAGACTGGTTCTAAAAGATGTCTGCAAAGAAATAAAAAGTGAAGAGAACATCAGTAATGCAAGCACAATCAAACAGCAAAAAATATTCGATGTGATGACCGTATTTTCCCAGTACAAGCTCTTTGTTTTTATGAGTTTAAAGACAGCAATGGCAGGACTTACCTAGTGGTCCAGTGGTTAAGACTCTGTGCTTCCACTGGAGAGAGTGTGGGTTTGATCCCTGGTCAGGGAATTAAGATCTCACGTGTTGCACAGCATGGCCAAAATAAACAAATAAATGGATGAAAAAATATATATACATAACATACATACATATATTCATAACAAAACATGATCAAATAAAATTCTTTTAAAAATAAAAAAATAATGGTGAAGTAATTAGGTCTGATATAAGTTAGGCTAAAAAATTGTATCAAGAAAACCATTTATCATTTGCAATGTGCTTCTCTCTAAATGTGTATTGTAAATTATTAGCTAACAATCAATCATTTTAAAATTAAATATCAAGAACATGAAAACACCTCAATTATTTAGCAAATGGTAACAGAGTACCTTACAAAATTGCTACTGCTGAGAAGGCTTTTTTGAGGTTTCTCACTCAAAAATAAAAGACACAATCCCACAAATCTAGAAAGCATTTGTTCTTCCAGATGCATTAAAAATGGCTGAAATGACACATACATAAGAGACAGAATAACTGCAAAATAAAAAGCATGTCTTTGTCAGCAAATACTGCTTTAAGACATGGAAAACACTGCTGAAAAATTGGAAAAACAATGTTAGAAAAAAAATCTGTAGTGTGAAAAAAGCGTTACACAGTTGGGTGAAAACACAGATGTGGCTAATGCATCAAGCTTATAGTGTTTTCGTATATTATACATTCTCTTTCAATAATGAAACACAATGGAAAGCTACTTTGTGTGAGCCAATAGAAAAAAACACCAGAAAAGACATCATCTCAATTCTAAATTATTTCTTAGATTAAAAAAAACAATGTTTCATGGAAAAAAATGTGTAAACAACCATTGACAGAACAGCTGCTCTCACTGGAACGAAGAGAGAAATCCAGAGCAAATCTATGATCTCACAGCACACGTGAATTTTCTTCTCTGCATTATTCATAAGCAGGAAAAGGCAGCAAAATGCACAGTGTGTTAGAGGACACCATGGATGTGGCAAATTTTATATAAATGGCACGTTTCAAGTATTTAGGATCATTACAACATTTGTAGTGAGAGTGGAAACAATCGTGAAACCCTTTCGTATCTGAGATACACTTTATCTTGGGATAAATAACCTAACTGGTTGTCAAAGTTCAGTGTCCCCAGGATGCCAGTCTTGTTTGTGAAGACACGTGGCTACATAGATATTCTTGCCAGTTTAAACACACATACACACTCTCATTCTTCCCTCAACACAAACGTGGGAAATGACTGAGAAAAGTAACCATTTAGAGTCTGGCATACAACGTGAAGGAAGTTAGAAAGAGAAAAACAAATACAGCATATTAACGCACGGATGCGAAATCTAGACAGATGCTATGGGTGATCTTATTTGCAAAGCAGAGAGACACAGATGTAGCAATTAAATATGTGGACACCAAGGGGGAAAGGCACCGACGGGATGAATTGGGAGATGGGGATTGACATATATACTATTGATAGTATGTATAAAGCAGATAAGCAATGAGAACCTCAGTTCAGTTCAGTCGCTCAGTCGTGTCCGACTCTTTGTGACCCCATGGACTGCAGCACGCCAGGCCTCCCTGCCCATCACCAACTCCCGGAGTCCACCCAAGCTCATGTCCATCGAGTCGTTGTATAGCAGAGCACGGGGCACTCTGGGCCCTGTGGTGATCTAAATGGGAAGGGAAGCCAAAGAGGAGGAGGTATATGTTCATATGTGGCTAATTCACTTGGCTGTACAAAGTAAATTGCACACAACATTGTAAAGCAACTATACTCCCATAAAAATTAGCTATAAAGAAAGAAAACGAACCATTTATACAAATACAGTTATGCTGTGGAGATGATATTTTGAAAACGATTTTTTAAAAAGCACCTGCATTCCAATTTTGTTAGCTATTGCAATGATGGCATCTCTGTGCTTCAGGTTCTTCATCTGGGAGGGAGATAATAAAATCTACTTCATAGGACTGTGGTTATGATCTGATGAAATAATCCTAGGAAGGGCTGAGCCCAGCGCCTAATCAATGGAAACCACCCACCGAATATACATCAGCCACTGTCAGGGCCTCCGTGGTGGCTCAGCTGGTAAAGAATCCGCCTGCAGTGCGGGAGACCTGGGTTTGATCCCCTGGAGGAGGACATGGCACCCCACTCCAGTGCTCTTGCCTGGAGATCCCACGGACAGAGGAGCCTGGCAGGTTACAGTCCATGGGGTCGCAGAGGGTCGGACATGACTGAGCTACTTACGGAGCACAGCACAGCCCCGTCAATGTGACTCTCGCCGCATCTGCCATCACAGATTTTACAGGCGTGGCTCCCTTTCAAGGGGCCGACCTGCCCAGGTGTAAGGACCCTCCGCAGAACTCCCGTTCCTGTGAGTGTCTGGTTAGGATGGGAGCTTCTGGAGGCTGGCAGGGAGGCCGCAGCCACTTTGCGGCACATGCACACTGTTGCTGATCTGTTGAATTACGCTGCTGGTATAAAGGAGCCCCAGGGGCCAGGTGTGTGTTGCAGCGCCGTGAAGAAAGGCCCCAGTGGCTGCTGGAAGCCCTGTCACCAAGGTCAGAGGCAGCAAGACCCGGACTGAGTGGCCGTCTGTCCTTGCGGGATCCCAGCCTTCTCATCTTCCTCCCTTCTGACCATCTGCCGTGAACTTCAGGCTCTAGCACTGACACGGAGACAGACTCCAAAGGACCACTTACACAACCCTCATCATTGCGTAAGTCAGCTCCACACAGACACATCTGTTTGTGTACACACACACACACACACACGCACGCACACACTAATACACCAGTCAAATGACCTGCAAAAGGTTTTTAAAGGATTTCTCCAATACTTGGAACTAAAGTGGCCAAAACAACCGATCACAGGTTTTCTGTGGAGCCCAGACACAGAGTTCTTTTGTGCATTTGGAGGCAGCCAAGTGTGTGTACCACACGAACGGAGGTGTAGAGCTGAGGTGAGATGTTAGGTGTTAGGCCTGGATGTTAGTCACTAGACAGTAGCATGCACACTGTCCCTCACACACCAAGTACCTTCCTCCTCACTGTGGTCCCATGACTAACCCTGCCCTTGATTTCATCCATTCTTCAAGAAGGCAGGCAAGGGAACTTCCTAGCTTTACCCACAGTCAAAAAATCAAACTGGACCTTTCTAGTTCTTTTATTTTTTTAATTATAGAGAGAATATAGGGAGAAAATTCAACCTTGTTGTTAACTACCGTTGAGAATAGGATTGCCCTTTCCTGATCATTGTTCAACTATCTTACAGTATCTGCACGGCTCCTGGAACCAACCTCAAATCCACTCCATCATTAGTTCCCAGAATATTCATCCACTACAGATACATGGGCTCCAGAAAAAAGCATCAGTGGGTCTGTTACACTCCTGTTTGGTCTTAATCCCAGAGCTTAGATTTTTCACTTTCCTTTTTCAGTCCAGCTGCATCTCTATTTCTCCCCTTTCCATGTGTCTCTACATTAACCATTGCTTCTTCTTATGTTATTTCTATTTGTTTCCCAGCATGCTTCATAAGCAGTACTAGGCACCTTCCTGGAAGATAACAGAAACTTGTAGGAAATTCCTATTTTATGATGGATGGATGGATAGATCGATTAATAGATGGTTAGATACATACATAGATACATAGACTTCTAAGGTGCACTTTTCTTGTGTGGTAGCTCAGGCAGTAAAGAATCTTCTTGCAACTTGGGAGACCCGGGTTTGATCCCTGGATCAGGAAGATCCCCTAGAGAATGGAATGACTCACCCACTGCAGTATTCTTGCCTGGAGAATTCAAGGATGGAGCCTGGTGGGCTACAGTCCATGGGATGGCAAAGAGTTGGACACAACTGAGTGACTAACACTTTCACTTTCACTTTTCTTTTCTTGTGTGGTATATTTCTGATGACCATAAGGAAAAGTATAAAAGGAGAGGCGAACAGGCATTTGATCAAGGAAATATGCTACAAACCATTAAGCCAGATGGGGGAAATGAATGCTATATTCTATATGCTACAGAGACCACAAAATTGTCATGGAATGAAGATTTAGAAGTTTACTCATTGCTTTTAACTAGAGCAATTTTAAAAAGGGAACAACTCTGCTTCATTATAGTTGAGAACAGGAAAGATTTGGTCAGTGTTCCTGCAGGCTCTCCCCTCCTCCTTCCCCACCCTGAGGACTCTCCGATGCCTATAACTCACTTTCAAGACTTTGATAGCATCCTCATAATGGTCTCCTCAACAGTATTATCATTAGAGCTTATTCAAAAAGTCAGATTGGCAGAATCCCTCCAAGAGTGGGAATATTCTCTCAAGCATCATATGCATCCTTGGAAAAGATCTGCAATGTCTAGCAAGCAATTAAAGGCCCTAAAACAGACTGTGTAGCTATTCATCCTCATTAAGAGACAGAAAAATACAGGTTGAATTACCTTACAGCAAATTAGATGGGAAAGTAGAGAACATAATCATATAATAAAAGACCTCATTAACTCCTCCCATTTTTCAAAGTACACATGCAATTGTCATTCTAGCTTCTGGAACAGACTAATACTCCAAAGCCAAAGCAGAAGGTGATGGAAAAACCAGAAGGAGCTTTTTCTCTTTAAATCAACCTCACATGCTTCCACAAAAGCCCAACTGAGAAAATTCTGAGGTAGGAGTAAGTAGTGGTCATCATTCTCAGGGTTTATACTTTATAAAATATTCCTGAGCCTTAAAAAGTATTTCTTCACATCAGGAGAGCTTTCTGTATTCTCTGACACAGGGTGAATTTCATATCCAGACATTCTATGTTCAGTATATGAAGCAAGTGAAGAAAAAGCATGATTTTCTATTCAAAATGCTTGAAAAGCTTAACTGTGATATATCAATTTCATTGTTGATTAAAATATGTCACAATACAGTACAGTATAATTTATTAGCCTTTTAAAGTTCAATAATTTATTTTGCATCATCCCTTGCCAATGGAATGTGATTTATTTGTATAGTCCTATTTTAAGGTCACTGTCTACTCCTGAGAACAACATTTCAAGACCTGGTTAATTAAATCTTAATGATCATATTGATATTTATCATTTATAAGAGAAATGTTCAAAAGGGTACATGAGACATGGCCTTTGAGAGAGACCTATTGTAATTGATGAATTTAGAGGTTAGTTTGTTCTCTTTCTTAGAGCCTCACAGCTATTTGCGGCTCTGGCTGTGGAACAAACACTTCCTTTCTCAACAGTTCTCAAATAGCTCTTAGTCAACTCAGCCACTCCAGCCATCATCATCACTGTATTTATTCCTGCATTCTTTTCTACAGTTCGGTTCTCTTCAGGAATTATGTCACAAACAATAAAGCAAGGAGCATGCTATCGGCGGGATTTGCTGGCTGTCCAGAAACCAGTGGAATTGAATGGTCAGCTTCCTGTGTCAGCTAAAGACACTTAGCTCTTCAAATTTCATTCTCTGGTGGACGTTTTTGGCTCATCTCCTTACCTCAAAAGCTACAGGTGTTAAAGATGGATAGGAAATAAATACATTAGAATCAAGCACCAATCAATCAAATGAAATCCATTAGGAAGTCAATTAACACAATTTAAATTTTAAACAGAAATAATGAATTACAAATAGGGTCACTTAATACATGGAGTGGGAAAGAAGCTAAATAGCACCTTCAGAGATTTTTTTCAAATATATTTTTCACTTTTTATTAAACAGTGCCCAGAACTATGCAAATGACAAAGCTGGCGTGATGACAGATCTAGATGGAAAAGGACATAAAACGGGAGTTCACTGTTTCATTTTCTTTGGAAGGGAAGGGCAAAGACCCAGATCAAAACAACAAATGGTAATACTTTCACATCCCAACAGGAAGAGCTGGACCATCAAGGTGAGACCTGCAGGTAAGGGGGTAGTAGCCAGTTACACTATTTTTCTATGACCACCCAACTCCCCGCCTATGAAAGATGTTAAAAACTAGGGAAAAGATTTAATAAGAATTATCAGTATGCAGTTAAGCCCATCCCATATGCCAACAGATCTTCAAGAGTGGACCAACATCCACTTGTTCCCAGATCAGATGAGATTGGTGTGGGGGTGGCCAAGACGACCAGGTGAGGGAGAGGCAAGACCCTAGAAGTCAAGGGAAAACTCAAAAACAAGCCCAAAGAGATGCATTCTGGATGACCCAGGAGATTTCTGGTGCAAGGCCTCAGGAGGAGACAAGTAGGAGATCTGAGGAAGCCACAAACGTGTCTTGAAAGTGTCTAATTAACCTTCTCTGTCCCTTCCTCTCATTTCCATGATCAAACGTGGCTCCCTCCTTTAGAACCCAGAGCATGGGGAGCTAGATGGTAAAAAGAGAAATACACAAAAGAGCAGAGAAGAAAGAACTTGATCACACCCCCATCACTCTCTGGGGCTTCCAAGGTGGTGCGAGGGGTAAAGAACATGCCTGCCAATTCAGGAGACTAAGAGACACAGCTTCCATCCCTGGGCTAGGAAGATCCCCTGGAGGAGGGCATGGCAACCCACTCTGGTATTCTTACCTGAAGGATCCATGGACAGAGGAGCCTGGCGGGCTGCAGTCCATACGTTCACAAAGAGTCAGACACGACTGAAAAGCCTTAGCAAAGGGGTTGTTCCTTTCTCTTGGCTGCCCATCTGGATGTGGCCCACCCTGGGAGAGCCCTGGGAAGATAGACAACCCTTCAAATCTCACAGGAAAATGAATGGCCCTCCCTCACAAAGAAAATATTCAATAACAAGCCCAGGATTAGTTAACACCAGAGTCTGAAACAGGCTTCAGCATGCTTAATTCAACCTGGCTCTAAGACTGTGCCCTTGTGCACAGGTGAGCCTCTGACCCAAGGTGACCTTCATGAGGAAGGTGAGAATCTGTGACCTCAGAGTGAAATGCCCTTAAGATACTGAGGAGTTATAAGTAATATTTCTTTTACATAGCAGAAGCATGTTCTATGAAAAAAAAAAATAAACTAAAATATCTAAAGAACACTCACATAGTAATAACTGCCATTTGTTCAGCTCTTACTGTGAAGGTAAAATTAAATTCACTTGGGTATAAGCGATAATACGTGCCAAATAATTTACACACATTCACTCATTTGTCCCCCTTAGGCTATGTGAGAAAAACATTATTAGTTAGCCTTATTTTACAGATAAGAAAAATAGAATTCAAAGAAATTAAGTCACTTCTCCAATAGGTTACTCAATAGGCATGAGGCTTCAGGAAAATTAAACCCAGAACAAATTTCTAAGGCTACGGTCATTTCAATACACTCCAGTTGAGGACATCCCTGGTGGTCCAATGGGTGAGACTTCACCTTTCAATATGAGGGGTGTGAGTTCAATCCAGGATCAGAAAGCTAAGATCCCACATGCCTCCTGGCCAAAAAAAAAAAAGGCAAAAACAGAAGCAATATTGTAACAATTCAATAAATACAACAACAAAAATGGTCCACAATAAGAAAAAAAAAATTTTTTTTAATACACTCCAATGAAGGAAAAAGAAGACAAGAAGTGAGAAAATTAATGATCAGAAACCTCATTTAAAATGGATTCCGGGGACCAC